AAGAGTGTCTTTTATAACTAGTACACATAGGAGACTCAAAATCAGATACTTTCCTCAGTCATTCTTGTCATTTTTAATGGAATTCAGTTAACCACTAATTGTTTGCTGATGTTGTGGTGGGTTGTCTCTTCCCCAGGTACTGGGAGATCGATGGGCAAACATCTGTAGGTGGACAGAAGATCGCTGGGTTCTTTTACAAGACATCCTTCTAAAGTGGCAACGTTTTACTGAAGAACAGGTGAGTCATGTGGGGAAAATTTTATCAGTGAAAGACATGGAGAGATGTTAAATGAATAAATGCAAAAATGTGATGGTCTACTTTAATAATTACTTAATTCCTTTTTGGGAATTATCTGTTTTCTTTCAGTGCCTTTTTAGTACATGGCTTTCAGAAAAAGAAGATGCAGTGAGCAAGATTCACACGAGTGGCTTTAAAGATCAAAGTGAAATGTTAACAAGTCTTCAAAAACTGGCTGTATGTATTGTGTTAGTTTACAGTAGTATTTTTTTAATCCTATAGTCTATATTAACACCATTTTTTTCATCTTTCTATTCTTTCAAATCTTAAACCAAATGTTCATTGCTCTTGCTTAAGTCAATCTATTAAATTATATCACATTGTTACTTTTCTTAATTAAAATAGGGAAAGCTATATTGTCTTGGGTTGGGCTACTCTAACAAAATACCATAGACTGGGTGCCTTAAACAACAGACATTTATTTCTCACAGTTTTGGAAGCTGGGAAATCCAAGATCAAGGTGCCGACAGATTTGGTTCTTGGTGAGGCCCTTTTCCTGGCTTCCAGACAACACCTTCTTGCTGTATCCTCACATGGTAGAGATGGAGGTGCCTCTTCCTCTTCTTAAAAGGGAACTAATGGGATCTCAACTGTCATGACCTCAACTAAGCCTAAATACTTCCCCAAAGCCCTACCTCCTAATGTTATCACATTGGGGTTTAGGCCTTCAATGTGTGAATTTTGGAAGGATACAAACATTAATTCCATAAGATATAGGTAGATTTTCAACTTTGTTTTTCCAGACAAAATTATACTCTTAAAGAAATATACTCTTAAAGAAATATATACCTGGAATAAGACTACAGTTAAAATTTAAAAATGTAACACTAAGAAGTACATGTGAGTGTTCCATAAAGTTCTAAACAGCATGATTCTAAAGCAATAGACTAAAATAGATTGTCTGAGAAATATGAGAAGTATAGAGTGATTATCCTCACATATAAGGAGCTTATACTCTAGTTTGGGAAGCAAAGAAAAAACATTAAAGCAAACCAAATGGCATTAACTTTGAGAAATGAGGGAACTTTGCTAGTACAAAGACAATCAGGAAAGTCTTCATTGAGATGATTCAGTTTGAGTTGAACCTTACAGAATAGGAAACAAATTCTAAAACTTCTCTTTCACTGTGAATCTTTTTATTTTCTAGTAAAGGAGAAGCCAATCTAATAATAAGCTTTATTTTTCAAGTCAAATATTCCATAATTAGGATTTCTTTTTTATTTTTGATCAATTCTATTAAGTGATGACTTGATGTTACTATTTCATAATTTTACCTAAGTGAATCTATTTATATCTGTATCAATATTATATATTACACTTAATAATGAAATCATTTACTTAATCTTAAATAATTTTCCTCTGTTAAATTTGTACCATTTTACAAATATTTATGTCATATATTTTTGTTCCATAATTACTAACCTTTAAGCTTTTTTATTTAAAATAGATTCACTTATATATTCCTGGTTATTATAAGCTAGCCTGTTATTGTTAAGAAATCATTTCTCAAAGAATATATGCCTTCTTGAGTGATGATATGACTTGAGAGGTTTCTGAAAAGTAATCTATATATATATTGGCAGAATGTAGAAATATCAGAGATATATTTGTAGTTTTGTTCTATAGCTAATGGGGAGCCATTGAGAGTTTGATAACAATCATATTTGCATTTTTGGAATTCTCTTTGGTAATGAGACTTTTGGTAGTAAGGAGACAAAATAGAAGAACTGAACTAAGTAGCATTGTGCATGAAGAGGAAGAGAGAGAGAAAGTTATTTCAGAAGAGGAAATCAAGGCTTAGGAAAAAACACATGACATGTATACAAAGTGTCATAGGACATTAGTAGCAGAGTTAAAATGAGCACTGAGACATTCAGACTCAGGTCTAGGCCTTCTAAGCTATTTCAAAACTTGTCACATTGTTTGATTTCTTGACAAAAAAAAAAATAACTGTAATTGAGAACTGTCATTTTGAACAATCATATGCCACTATGTTGACATTTTTTGTGTGTAAAAGACTTTACTAGCCTCAGGGCTGTTACAATCCTCTCTTAGCAAAGTCTCAATAATTTTCCAATATGATTAAAATTCAAATTATGTCACCTTACTCGTGAACAAAGTGAAAATATATTATGGATAAGTCTTACCGTTTGATAGTTTAAACCAATTAACAAAACCTGACAGCTGGTCTAGAATTTGAGGTAAAATTCCCCTGCTGACTCAGGCAGTGAATAAGAATTTAATGTTCATTAAAATATGTCACAATCTGAGACCCAAAACAGGTACCATCTGTCACCAGTTTCTGCGACATACCTAGGTATATATACAGTGTGCTAAAACTCTTTTTTATTTACAATCAGTATAATTTGTTTTGAAATGTTATCACTAACAACCCATGGGATTTTCTTCTACTTTTTATTTGAGGTAGGATATGAGGGGTCAAGTATTTCATTTCCTCTAGATCTGTAGTTTTAGCTAAATCATGTAGGTCTATTATTTTTTATGATCAAAACTGAATTTTTATTTGTGGTAAAGGATAGAAGAAAAAGGAGAGAAGAAACTGTACTCCTTATGAGGAAAATTCTAAGACCTATAGAATCATGTAGGCTATCAGGGGAAGGCTAGAATCATGTAGGCTATCAGGGGAAGGCCCAAATCTGCAAGAGGGATGTTTCTGGGGAAGTCTGCAACACGTGGCAAAGGACTGGTGGTGTTTGCCAGGGAAGGACAACTCTGGGAAGCTTGGCAATCCAAGAAAATGTAATGTGCAGGGACTATAGGAGTCCTGTGGAATTGACGGCACTCCCAGGTGGCTTTGGGATCAGATGGCAAGGACAGAATGCTTATGGGAGCTCAGCAAGTCCCAGTTGATGGTGCATTTTTACCAGGACTTGCTACCTTGACCTCGACTCCTGTGCTTATTCTCAATGAATTCATCCAGGTAGAATTAATGTTCTTGAAGTGTGGACCCTGGAACAGGAGCATCAGCATCACCTGGGAACTTGTTAGATGCAAATTCTTAGGCCTCAATTCAGACCTATTGACACAAACCCTGGAAGTATGGTTCAGCAATCTGCATTTTAACAAGCCCTCCAGGAGATTCTGATGTTCCCTCAAGCTAAGAACATTTCCGCGCCGCGCCCCTCCCCAAATGGATCAGTCTACCTAAGTATAACAAGAGGTGATTAGAATAAATTAAAGTACTTAACTACACATAAAATAGGTACAAAATTTAATTGTGCCAGTGTAAGAGAAATTGCCCTAGCATTATTCTCTGAAGAATACTTCAGATGAGAATAGGGTGAAGATTTCCTGGTCCTTTTGTAAGTGTACATTCTTTTTTTCACTTCAAATCATCTAGCCTTATCCCGATAAAACATGCCTATTCTGTCTTCCTGAGCAGCTTATCTGTCTCTTGCCTGTCTCTGCTACTGGCCCAATCTGATTTATTGATTGTACCTTCTTGCCTACCTTGGGTAGGTACAGGTGTCTGGCTTCTAAGAAAATAAAATATATTTCTTCTTTTAAGATCCTAGCTGACCTCTGCCTTGTACAAGTTTTCTAGAACTTCCTTTTGCCTCCTGAGTTTTATAGAGATCTGTGGGTCTCTGGTACTCATGACCTACGATCGAGACCTATGATCAGGTTTTGATAGGCAGAAAGATATCTTTTTTATACTCTTATAATTACTAACAGTTAAATCATAGTTATTTAATATGCATACATGAAATTCACGCTGAAAAGAATTGCTGTCCAAGGATAGATGGGAGGAGGTAATTCATTACTGTAATTCAGTGTGTCTGGTACCAGCCAGGATTTCCTGCCTTCTCCTTCTGTTGGTTATGGTAGGAGAGCCATTCAAGGACTGGAAAATAATGGGGAGAGAGAAAGATCAAGAGCAAACAAGAGGAAACAAATTAAGGTAGAACACCTAACCTGGCATCACCACTTTGTAAAAGCAGATCTAGAATTTACTAGATGGAAGCTTTTATTAGCACAGTGTTTTTGTCATATAGATTTAAGTAAAAATATATTGATTTGATAAGTCCTCAATTTTATAATAATGTTTTTAATTTACTATGAGAGCATGTTTCCTAATAGTATTTAATTATGACTTTCTCCTTTATTTTTGTAATGCTCACCAAATGCTTCTTCATTTGGTTTAAAGTGAACACAGGAGGCTTAGTTTCATTTGCCACTAAATCTCTTTGGATATCCAATTAGTTTTATAGATCATCTAAGAAAAGCTGTTTAGGTAACATGAGGTTGCCCATATATTTCCAGTGCAAATTGTTTCCTCTTCTTTAAACATAACTCTCAGCCCTCATTCTGAATTATTTCCAAGTCATTACACATTTAGTTTAAATAATGGGTACACCCCTAAGCCTTACATGTAGAGAGAGCTTTTCAAAAATAATTCCTTAAGCTCTGAGATAGATGGTAAGCCAAAGAGGATTGATTGTATTTATATCTTTCTATTTTTAAGTATATATCTTTATTTCAATCATGTCTTTTTCTAAAAAGAACTCGAGATGGCTTACAACAAAATAAACGCATGCCAAAAGTTAATTAAAAAAAAAAAGGAAAATGAGACATCATAAAGAAGTAGAGGAGTCTACATTGACAAGTCAAATGTAGGTCCTAGGACGTAGTTCCATAGTGTAGTGGTTAGCACATCTGCTGTATACGCAAAGAGTCCTGGGTTCATGCCCCAGTGGAGCCACGGTGCATGGTCTACAGCCATGCCACCCTGAACAAGCCCAATGTCTGATCTTGGAAGCTAATCAGGGTCAGGCCTGGTTAGTACTTGGATGGGAGGCTACCTAGGAAGACCAGGCATAAGTAATAATAAATAATAAAAAAAAAGAAGAAAATGTTGGTTTACTGCTTATCCAAATATGCACTTAAATTTAATAGAAAGTGAACGTATGAATTAAACAAACATAATCAATGTATAAAACCTATCACTAAATTCCCATGCTGAGAATTTTATTTTGATATGATTTCAACTTACATATCTTAGCTTATATTTTGGTCTATTGCATCCTTTCAAACTTAGAAAAATAGTGAAAAAAGTTAATTATTGAAGAAAAATTAAAACTAAACTTCAAAACTTGCTTTTATTCCTTAAAAATGATGAGCAGTTAGATGACACTATGAGGTATACCAGGTGAAGTAGATTTTGAATAAAGGATGAACTAATTGAGGAGACGCCAGAGCTTTCTTCAGTTTAGAGCTATCAATGCAGGTGGCATGCCAAAATGAGATACATAAAGTGTCGTTTGCAGGGGATGTGTATTGATTTCTCTGTGTGGATGACACTTCGGTTCACAAGCAATTGGTGCATCTGTTTCATGACAATTTCTTTACTATATGCAATATGTAATGTTAGTCCTTCTTAAGTAAATTTGCATTTGTTTTGGAAAGACAGGTCTCACAGCTTGGTTTATGTTCATTGTACTTGCTACTGCCAGAAAGAGAGGATTGTAGTGGGGCTACAAAATAATTCTCTACTTTCTTTCCTCTTGTTCTGTGTTTATAAGTCAGGGATTTGTATTTAGGAGCTGGAAATTACATTTCCCAAAGTGCGGGGTAACCTTAATGGGTAAAGTGAAGGAATAAACTCTCTTGATCTACTGATTTCACACAAGCCACTTTGTTTCTTTATTTTATATCAACCGAAGGGTATGTGCAACCATCCATAACTCTCAGGAACTTTGGGAATATGAATGATATAACAATTACTTCATATATACACTCATGTTTAGAAAACATACAAGTGATTCCAAAAGATTTGTCTCATACTCAGTTACTTAAGTTCTATTACTTAATGGACTTTAAACTTAAGTTTAGAAGATAATTACTCAAATAGCCAAATATAATTGAATAACAGATGCTAAAAATTTAAGTCAGTAAACTTCATAACAAGGTTTTTATATCCAAATAATGAAAAGAATATAAAAATTGTGGAAATAAGTAATGTTGCAAATTTATCCACATAATCACAGCATTTCAGAATTAGCCACGTTCATCTCAATTCACCATGTTCTCTTCCGTACTCCTGGCATGTGGAATTTCACTTGAATTTTATCAGGAATTAAGAGGAAATTCACTAATATTCAAGAACCATGCCTTCCACTCATCTGTTAAATATTAAAAAGTAATTTCCATATGTTGATCTTGCTCTTGCCTTTTGAAGCAAGGCTACTTTTTTACTTGGCAGATCTTCAAATATTTTAAAGTAGCTTTTAAGTTCCTCTACTAGGTGTTTATTTCTGACTTTTATTTTTTATTCTTCAAGCTTCTTGGAAAGATTATTGGCATTTTAATTTTCTACTTATATTTTTATGGGCTCTTGGTCCTTTGTAGACATGATTGTGATCATATCTATTCCAATGAGAAAATAAATGCAAAAGCAAATTGAACTGTAGTGTTTTATGAAATGTAACCTAGGCTTATTCTGTGTCCCTCCTTGTTTTAACAGGCTTTAAAAACAGATCTAGAAAAGAAAAAGCAAACCATGGACAAACTCTGCTCACTTAACCAAGATCTTCTTTCAACACTCAAAAATACAACAGTAACCCAAAAGATGGAAACATGGCTGGACAACTTTGCCCAGCGCTGGGATAATTTAGTCCAAAAACTTGAAAAGAGTTCAGCACAGGTTAGTGATCCTAATTTTCCTGCAATAAATGTTCCTTGAGATTTTTGAAATCTTCATTAAGAGAGCTATACTATATATCTCTACAAAGTATGCCAGTGGGTTAGTCCTTGCCAGGTATTCAGTTGAATATAAACATGGTTCTCATGGTTATTTTGATATTGGAGAATCTGAGAGAGGTGGAGGAGTGCTAATTGACTGAGCTAGTTACTGCTTTAGAGTGTAATTCTTTCCACTTCAATGGGAATGGGCATCTGAGTAACTGAGAGCAGTCAGACAAAATGCTAGGGAACTGTGTCATCACAATCTAACCCCAAAGCATAGATTCCTAGAACCATGACGACCATTAGTTGATCCTTACGTTTCACATGTGAGAAAATGAAACTTAGGGAGGAAAAGTGAATTGTCCAAGGAGATAAGAGCAGGCTGCGGTCCAGGTCCTTTGATTTCACTAAAGATTCCTTTCTATTAGTGTAAGTGAGAATCTAACCATTCATTGGACTTCCTTTCTGCCACAGATTGTTGATTCATAAAATCGTCAATGTGGCTTAGTTACACTAACACATATTGGCTGTAGATTAGGCAAACATCTCAGTTATACTTGTACTGTCATAGCGTGTTTTTATGTTAAGAGTTTTCAAAGTTTTGATAATTTAAAGAAAATGGAATATTTTTAGTATATGTGTTGCCAAAGCGAGCACTAAAAATGGAGTATTTTTAAAGTGGCAACTTTTATTATTTGATGTCGTTAGATATTGGAATCATGGGTGGTCATTTGAAATATCAACACTGTTTATATTAGTATTTAACATATTCTGCCTTATTGTTTTACATTATAGAGGCTAGCTTTTACTAATTGGCCACAATTTATAGCTCAGTGTACCAGGCACACATCTCTATTACAGCAACGACTACATTCAAAATCTTTAGGCATGTACCTCTGTTGTGAGACAGTGCGGGGAATTTGTTTTTTTGAGACTTGACATCTGATAAATAGCACTTAGGAAATTTTGTTGAAAGATGAAGAAATGAAGGTTAAAATATTGCTTTGGAAATACAATTTAAGAAAATATGATCAGCCAACATATATGATTTTAATGACAGTTCAAGCTTCCTTTTAAAATGAAATTCATATTTAAAAATTTTTTTTTTAAATTTAAGATTTGAAGGAGTATAAATTGTAGTCATTTCCCATGCAATCATTGGGCGATAATAAAAATTCCATTTGTTTTCCACTGAATATGTTTTAGTAGTTACTTGATCTAATAGTGATTTTAATACCAGACCATGATTCCTCTTATTATATGTGATCTGGCCATGACTACTTTGCAATACCATTGACATCTGTGTAATAAATACATAGGCATTAAAAAATTTGATACTTTTTAAACCAAGAATGATATCATTCCAATATGTACCCATTGTTGCCATAGATTATTGTTGCTAAAAATAATAATTACCATGTTAAGAAGGATTGGCAATATTTGATAAAGGTGTTTTGCAATGCATCCCTTTAAAGGAATATCTTTATCAAGATGTAATTTAACAATAGGTCACTGTCTCCTTCACCTGCATTATATGCAGTGGTTTTCAAGCTTAAGTCTACATAATAATCACCTGGGAAACTAGTTAAAATGCATAGTTCTAGACTCTGTGCTCAGAAAAATCTCATTCAGTGGGCCAGTAATCTGCATGCAGTTTTTTATATAGTCTGATGACTATCTATATA